CATGGTTTAGTGGTGGCCTTGGCAGTGATGGTGTAATGGTTGGACTTGATAATCGTGAAGGTCTTTTCCAACCTAGTTGATTCTGTGATTCTGTAATGTTATTGGATCATTCTGTGCTCATTAGATGCACATGGGAATCTACAGTGATTCCCTCCATCCTGAAAGCTTCGTAGAAGAAGGTGCATCGCTTTTACAGTTGGCATGTGGCCAGGTATCTGTGCACAACAGACCTGTTAAATAGACCTCATGTTTTGAGATAAGTGTAGACTGGTCTTGTGAAATGGTTTCATAATTCTCGTTGCCCAGTCCTTTTACTAGGTATTTTATTCCATTGCCTGACTGTTGGGCAATTTTCTTAACATTAGAGTTGTTGTTTATTCAGTTCTAAAGAAAGAAAAACCACAAGTAAAATATCATAAGCAGCTTTCTAAAACAGTGACAAAAGGATCAGGAGGAGAAGGGGAGAGGATTCTGGAGGAGCTGCAAATGCAAGCTACCACTTTGTATCTAACCTCTTGCAGCTTATATTTAGTGCAGCTCGGCTTGTGTATGAATTGGGCTTTTCTCCTTCATCTTTCAGATGAGACAAGCTGACAGAAATGTTGTAACAGCACTAACGCACAGGCCTTGGCAACTGAGCCATTTTGGAGATGGGAAACCCCGTTTCAATTCCTCCTGGAAACACTACTTGTATGTGATACTGGATGTCATTCTGGATTGGAGCCTACACAGTTTCTTATGGCGATTGTGTGGGGTTTCAGCTTTCCTCATACAGAAAAACTTTGTTTCTCAGTAAGTACTAAGTTTTCTAACGTATGGGGGGGGGGTATTGCCATTCTATTAGTATAGAAGGATGGAGTTAAAATAGTACATACTAATCAGTGTGTTCCATTCAGTGTTGTGTAAGGTTGTTTGGATAATTCCTTTACCCCATGCTATTTTATTGCTTTAAACCTCTATCACTTTAATTTGTATTTTTATCTCATGCTTTAAATTTAAAGGGGGAGAAAATGGTTGCTTTTTTTGCTGTTTACAGTAATAAACCACAAAAAGATGATATTGCAAAAGGACATGCTGTTGTTCTTGATGAGTTAACTGGTGTAAGACTAAAACTCGGACATAGTCTCAGCACTGTCTGCCTTAAATACAGTAGTGTCAACCTTACTCTTATGGTGTCCTTGTTCCTTGCAGAGACTACGTGAGGCACTGGTCTTCAAAAGGGATCCAAGTGGTTGCCTGGACAGTGAACACATTTGCAGAAAAAAGCTACTATGAAAGTGTTCTTGAATCTAACTACATCACCGACAGCTTGGTGGAAGACTGTGATCCTCATTACTAGACCTGTGCTGTGCACACACCACCCTAAGTAAGCTTTCTTGCCTGGGCAGCCTGAATTCCTCATCGAGAGGGTATCCACTAGCACAGATGGGATTGCCATCTCTGTGGTCAAACCTCAAATGCAATAACTCTGATGCAACACTGGACAAAGCCAGGGACATGCAGTCTGAGTAAATCATACTCAAACACAAAAGGATCCAGTTTGACAAGTGAACTGCTGCTTTGTGATTCTCAGACTCTTCCTTTGCTTTGTTCAGCTCTTGGTTATGAAGCCAAATTAGCAATTTTTGGTGGCAAGTTTTAAAATCATATCTTGATTTTTTTTTTTAGTAATTTAAACAGCCTGTTCTACAACTGTATAATAATTTGAAGTTGATCTGTGGTGTCTTAAAAACATCCACCTTACTGTTCTTAATACAGAACCTGAAAATAATGGTGCCAAATAGAGTGTGCATATGTTTCCCTCCTGCTGCATGGAGGGATGGCTGTGCTGCATCTTGACCAGGAAAAGCAAGCCAACTTTCAGTGTTCATTGTGCAGACTGTGAGAATCAATGAATAAAACTTGAGTAGCTGCTTATCTTCCAGACTTTTTAGAAGAGCCAAGGGAGGATAGAAGATTATTTCTTCTAACAACACAGAACATGAACGTATTTATTTAAAGAAAGCTATGTATTGAGTGCTGGAAGCAGCAGAACAAATAAGAGCTGAAATGTCTTCTAACTTTCCTCATTGTTTGGATGATTGAAGGGGACTCACAAAGATATGTGGGAAACTGTAACCCAGGTTTAACTTGAAATCAAAAGTTACAATAAACAAGTAATCTGGTAACTCACAGGTGTTGTGTTCGTTATCAGCTGCACAGCAGCAGATCGATGTAAACCACCAAAGACACCACAGGGTGTGTGCTGGTTGTTCTAAGCTGTAAAACCCCAGGTATTCCCATCAGCAATTTTGGCTCTGGAAGGAGCTGGTGGTTAGAGAAGACTGTCAGTGCTTATCACTGTTTCCCTGTTTGGGCATTGCTGTGTTTCAGGTGAGGCATTACACCATGCACTGGGTGAGCACTTTACAAGGTGCAACAGCAAAGCTGCCCTTGCCAGAAATGGAACAGCAGACTGGGAGGGCAGCTGGGTACTCTGCTTTAGATGTGAATGCTCTTGAGAGCATGCCTTATGGTTAGAATCGGTTCTCACTCACCCAGCCAACTGGGACTCTTAAAAAAACTTGTATAAAAGGCTTGTCTGTAAAAGAGACAAAAAAAAAAAAAGTAAAAATCAGTCACTGGTGAAAAGAACTACACAATTGTCCCAATTAAGGTAAGTCCAAACATGAGTTAGAAGCAGATTAATGCTGCCTTCTGTGAGGGGTGATGGATTTTCTTGCTTGTGCACAATATATATATAAGCACAAAGAAACACGAGTAAGGAGCTGGTTGTACCTGGCAGGACAATGAGAGTCACTTCAGTTCATGTTGCTCATCCACCTGCACTGATGTGCACCTCATCTCCTGGTGCCCATCCTATAGCATGTGTACGTTACACCCTCAGCCAGTGCTGTAACCTCTTCCTTTGCTGCTATGTTCTACAGGCAGCCTGTGGGAGGCCAAGTGACCATTTCTCTCTGAGTTGCTGGCACTGTGGAGTCACTGCCCTCAGTGCAAACACCAGGCCCATTTCAATATTCACAGCCAGACTCCAGAGCTCTGCATGTGGAAAAACATACTAAATACAACTGAATCTCTGGCTCTTGCCTTGTGTGTAAAGTTCATCCTTTCTTCTGTAGCTTTGGTGGCTGTTTCTGGGTTGTCTTTCACCCAAATTAGGAGCACGAGGAAAAGATGTGCCTCCTCCCCAAGGCATTTTTGTGTCCTAAGCAAAGAGAGAGGAATAAACCAGGCAGTAGTAGAAAATGGGCTAAAAAACAAACAAAAAATTATCATCAGGGCAAAGCTGTGGCTCTGAATAAAAAGAAGCTGCATCAAGTGTCTCGAAGTCATATGTGATAGAAAAAATCTCAATCGTGTTACTTCCAATCTATCCTTTACAGAAAAAAAAAAAGTGTAGACTTCTTGTTTACAAGCAGTGGTTTTACACATGAGGCTTTTGATGAGTAATCATTCTTTCAAAAAGAGTTCTGATAACTTCTAATGTCAGAGCTGCTTTGGAGTGACTGTAATAAGCTGTAACAATGGCTCAGAAAAGTAAATATGGAATAACGTGGTTCACACAAATTACAGCCATTGCAATGTCTCAAGCATTAAAAACAACTGCACTTTAATTTCCTTCTATTTTTATTTGGCCAATGCATTGCTTTTGGTTTAGATTACATTAAAGCAGTTTGAACAATGTAACTGTTATAAAAATAGTTTTGGAACAAAGCTTTTATTTACAATTAGGCACAAGTTTCCTATCTTTAGTCAAGAGCAAGTGACTGCTGTGGAGGGATCTTTACGGTGTCAGAGTGTGAGCCAGGCCTGGGGAATGCTGTCGGCACAGTATCCCTACTTCAAAACCAGACCGAACCCACAGGATATTCCCCATCGCAGTAATTAACTGCAGTCAGGATGCATTTTGCCATCTGTTCTCTTATTTATTTCTTCCATTTAAGGGTAAAAATAAAAAGAGGTGTGAATGGTTCTTTGAGTCCTTAGTGCAAACGAGCACTGCTTTGTGCAGAACACCACTCACTGAACGTTCATTATTGACTCTGTTGGCTCATGGTTGAGGATAGGTGTAGTCATCTTGGTCTTCCCACTGAGCTGCTTCTCTGGCCCGCAGAGCAATCGCCACTGCCTCCGACATGCCAGGCCCACTGCCGTGCTGGGCTCTCTCCAGCCCTGCTTGTCACAGAGGAAGTAACATTAACTGTGCTCTTGCCAGTACAGTAACCACCCTCACTAAAGTGCCCTGCGCTGCTGAAGTGTCTCATCTGTCATGTGCTTGGAATGCAGTTACATGTTTGTGTAAACCAGGAATAGTTCAAACTACCGCACTAAGTTTCCATAGCTTTTTGTGTTCTGGACATACCATGTCCTAGGGAGTCCACATCATTAACAGCCTCTGCTGAGGTTCACACCAAGACGTGAAACATCTCTCTAAGTGATGTAATATTCTTGCCTGTGGCTGCTCCCATAAGACAAAATGGCTCATTTACCCAAAGAAATTCAACTCTCTGGTACACAGAAGCTTGCGATCAATCTTCAGAAACCACCACCACCATCACAACGAGCACACCCTATAGGAAATGTTTACCCCAAAACCCCAGTCTTTTTGTTTTCATACAAGATAGTAAAATGCTGCCTCTCTTACAACAAGCTGTTAAGAGCAGTGTCTGTACTGTAACAAACACTTTTACTGAGTTTCTAAGAGCTGCTTCCTGTGTTCAGCACTTGTTGCTTACCTTGTGGGAAGCCAGTCCCTCTCAAGATCCCAGCAGCATAGGGATGCTGAAAACAAAATTCACAAGGAGACTGAGGTTGATGTTTCCCTCATGTGCCATTTATCTTGTATTTAAAGATACTTGTTACCTGTAACACAACCATACTCTCCAGGTCTTAAGCAGGCTTGTATGAGCATTCTAACAGCTATTCTGATTACATTTTTGCACTGCTTAAATTAATCTTAAAAATTAGTTCTATGCATACAGGATGACTTCTTTGTTTAACATACACCCCTTGTCTGTGTCTTGCCCCAGGCTCTATAGAGGGAAATCTAGCAGAGATTTCTTCTTTTGACCATCTCACCTCGTCGTAGGATGCGTTTTGATTTCTGTCAAATGCCCTTCCTGGGTAGTAGCCTGGCACTTGCTGGGCAGACTGCCCGGATGGGTGGTATGAAGAGCTTCTCTGAAAGACAGAATAGCTGCCATTAGCAGTACGATGGTCTGGATTCCAATCCTGACTTTACAGTCAGTGCTGCTCACACCCAAGGCTATGACCCTTGTTCTAGGGAGGTGGCTCTTCTACCAGATCCACAATGAGATTATTTTGGCATCTCCTTTTGAAATCTGACCAACTACAAGAACATCCATAGTTTGTATCAAACCCTCCCTTTGGGGTCACAAGTGGGACTCCTGGACGCAGCCACAGGGTTGTCTAGTGTTTGAAAATCCCCAGCAGACAGAAGATGCCCATTTGCTTTAAGCTCCCCTCTTTACAGTCAATATTTATTTATATTTGTTTATATTATCACATATCTATTTCTGTTTATCAATACATCCATATTAATTATTACCAATGCTTATTTACATTTATTTATATTATCACATTAATGACAGCCAGTCAATACAGGGGGATTTGTTTTATGGAGAGAAGGGAGGGGAACTGAACAAACCCTTCTTCTTCATCAGTATGTTTTCACTCAAGCCAAATAAAACCACATTCCACAGCACCTAAATGTGCACGTTTTAACACTAAGTTGATGGCTCAGCAGGCAGGACTGACTTGAAAAATAAGTTCAAGCTTAAGACACTGATGTCCTTCTTGTTGTTATGGGATTTAAATTGGAGTTAGGTCCAAGCACTCAGTTTTACCTCAGCTGAAAAGGTTGGGAAGAGGGGCAAACCATGAACCCTTAAGGAAATAGAGTCAGGGGAGGAAGGCAGCTTCCTCCTCAGTCTAAGCAAGGTTCAAGAGTAGCCAAGCCCTTTAACAACCAGCACTGCACTCCTAGATTAGGAATGCTTTCTTGCAGTTTCACAATCATAATGTCTAGTGAGAGTAAGGACTCCTCTATATTCTTCCCAGGCTGAACTCCAGTCTGGAACACATAGTTAGGCAACTTCCATGGTATCCTTTTCCTGCCTGGAGTTAATTAGCCATCAAACAACTTCCATGAAATTTTAAATACAGACATATCCCAGAATGGCAGCCTGTTTGCAAGCCTAGAGGAACTCCATGAAATTGTACCAAGCACGTAACTGAACCGGTATCTAAACTATCAGACTGACCTGCTGGCCTTGTCCTCCTGGTGCAAATGGGGTTTGCTTTGCCCTTTGCAGT